TCTCTCTAATATCTCCCCTCAGTACCTAATCTAAAAAACATCATCATGAACAAATGGCATCTCATAAAACACCAACCGTTGCTCAGAGAAATCTTTAAAGATCCATCTATAATATCTTATAAAAAAGGAAAGTCATTCCAAGATATACTTGTAAGAGCCAAACTATGAAGCTATGGTCAAAGATACAACAGCTCAGCCAAAGGGAGTCGTGTATGGCCTGTCAACACTATGAACAATATTTGGTTAAGCAAACGCTCGGGTGAAAAAACTTCATGCCCGAGAAATTTCTAGAAATCAAGCGATACTCCGCTTTGACGTCATACTGCAACACGATTGGTTTTCTTGATTGGTTTTCTTTGGCGGGAAAACGAAGAGGCCATGCTTTGATCTTTTCATCCACTGGCTGATAAAACAACAAATAACGAACACTTACGTAACACTTACCGAAACCATTTTTCAAGGTCATACGAAAATCGCTCTAATAACATCTACGGGCGTTTAGGAGACGTGATCAGTTAACTTGCTTTTAGCTAGATGGAGGCATAGTGGCAAGAAAAAAATTCAATTAAGGCGTTTTTCGGGAAAGTTTTGGGGGTGAATGGGTTGAACAAATTTCATATTGATGGCAAGAGCAAAGAAGGTGCAAAACTATTTTAGGTCAATGTTTTGGGCTAACAAAATCAGCCTTCCTCAGGGCCAGAGCTGAGGAAGGCTAGTATATTGGGCTAAATGAATCAGCCATTTGCCGTAGTGCCAGCCCTACATTCAGTTTATTTCATTATACACATTAAGTGTCGTTTGGCTATAGCATCTCCTTTATTAGAGATCCTGCAAGAGGAACCAGTCTGTTTTATTTACGCTTTACGTGGACCTCTGCATTCAAAGAGTTTTTTCTTTTTGTTATTAAAGGTGGCGTATGCGGGATGGCATATTTGAATGCTTCCTTACTTGTGTCCTTTTTGTAAGCGGTTGAGAAACCATGATCTTCGTTTTATTTTGAAAGAAATACACTTTTGAAATTAAAACAATCAATAATAAAATGAGAGAAAAAGACGGCAAAGCTAACCCAATAGGTCCCAACCCAATAGAGTGTTGCGTGACGATGAAAGTCCCAGGCTCCTGCCGGTTTGACGGTAAACACGTCCGTTGCCATGACAGCTGTGCAAAATGCAAGAAAATCGGAAAGGCTCAAAGTCAGGCGCTGAAATGAACATCGACTTTACACGTGAAAAGACTTCCAACTATATTTCTTGTGAAAAACCTTAGTAATGGTTGAAGATACTTCATCACCTACCACAAATGTCGCCGAAGAAGATCCGTTCAATGAAGATAAGGTAAGATAAGAATTTGGCGCCATAATCTGAGTAAAATTTCCACGAGCCGACATGTTGGTTTTGCTAGCACCAAAGATCGGAGCAAAACAAAAACAGCCTTTTGTATCATTTGTGTTTTTGATGCAAATATGCCTTGCATATTATCAGGCGAAAGAAAAGCATGTTGACAAAGGTTGCAAGCAAACAAATGCTTGATTTTTCGGGAATCTGAGAACCAGAGTTGCCAAGATATTTGCTGTCCTTCACAAATGTCATCAGAACTGTAAGCTTTAATCTGAAGCTTGCTTCCTTGCTTCTTGTGGGTTTAATCTGCTGTGGCTTCATTCTCTAAAATCAAATGTAAGGAATAACATTATTTGTTTCGGGTCCTGAAGCTTCAGCTTGAGTACTAAATATAAAAAAGATGCCAGTTTTCGTCGAAATATAGTTTAAAATTGAAGATTCTCCGATGATCTGATCCTAGCTCTGAATAGAACGCGATTATTAAAACTTCTCTGATAATTAACTTTAAAGCTTAATACTTTTACTAATCTGTGAAACTGGTTGACTTTTTTAGGCGGAAAGGCGATTTCTTAACTCCAAGCCAACATGCTTTATTGTCATTGGGAAGCCAGTAAGTAAATAAATTATTTTATTTTCATGCATCATACGTTATAAATCTTTGAACATGTACAGTTCCTCGATTGTTTAATCAAATTAAGCCAATAAGCTTTCAAAGTTATTTATTTTTTTGTTGAAGATTTTTAACCTAGTGTCACAAATTCCTTTCTTCCACCAAAAATTCAGGGATCAGGGAAAACAACACTTGCAAAGAAGTTAGCCAGGGTATGGAAGTGTGAGCTCATAAATGGTGAGTATTTCAAGGAGTTTACATTAATATCTTAATTCTCCTTACCATATCAAGAACATGGCAAAGCCAACCTTGCATCTTTAGGTACAGTTAAAATTTGTCATAAGCTTTTATCTCAACAAATTTGATTCATCAGTGAAAATCAGCAAAAATTTTGACATTGTAAATCCACTGTTAACTACTATCGAGTTACATNTTTTTAACCTAGTGTCACAAATTCCTTTCTTCCACCAAAAATTCAGGGATCAGGGAAAACAACACTTGCAAAGAAGTTAGCCAGGGTATGGAAGTGTGAGCTCATAAATGGTGAGTATTTCAAGGAGTTTACATTAATATCTTAATTCTCCTTACCATATCAAGAACATGGCAAAGCCAACCTTGCATCTTTAGGTACAGTTAAAATTTGTCATAAGCTTTTATCTCAACAAATTTGATTCATCAGTGAAAATCAGCAAAAATTTTGACATTGTAAATCCACTGTTAACTACTATCGAGTTACATGGCCATTACATGTAACTATTATAGTACTGCTCTTACTTTACTCTGGACACTATGGGGCAGGAATTCGAATGTCAAATTACTTGTTTATAAGCGTATGGCTGTATTTAGAATGCCTAAGACATCTCAAGCATAAAAGATTCAGATGTCTTAGCTTTCTAGAACGTAGAGTATGGGAATGCAGCACACAAATTTTAAAAACTTCAGAGGAATCAAACAACAGGCGCTGATAGTTCAAATAGTGGATAGTGCTATTCACTGGATAAATCACTATCTAGTGGATTAAGTATCAGGGAAATCAATACATTATCCAGTGGATAGACATTATTTATCCGGAACAACTGGTGTCAGATGTCTTGGCCAGCTCAGATTTCCGTTTTTTTAAGCCCCAGAAGGGACAGTCACCACATTTCTCCTAAAAGGTTCAATACTTAATCAAGAGAAAATGCAATGAGAATTAATAAAATGATCAGAAAATAGAAGTTGCTTAGATCTTGAACAGGATTCTCCCAACTTATACCATCTGAAAAATGGATAAGAATAGTTTAGAGAAATTGTACAATAATGTACATGTGTGGAAACTGAGAAGTGAAGGGTTAAGCTATCAAGTATAAAGATATACTATCCCTCACAGTTATTGTCCTCCACTATCAATTCCATCTAATGCAGAAAAAGATATTTTTCAAATTAAAGAAAGTTTGCTGAAGAACAAAACAGTAAACTTAGCCCCTAAAATGCTGCAAAATATGCATGGCCTTTTAATCAACAGTTTAATTTCTGCCCTGATTAAGCAGGCATTCAAACTGGTCCTTAGCTTTTTAAGCAATAGAAAACGTTTTCTGTGTTTGCATAGTCTGATATAAACACGAGAGGAGTTAGGAGAATTCGAGACAGTTATGCAAACCCAAGACGAAGTTGAGGGTTTGCATAACTGTCGAGAATTCTCTCAACGCCTCGAGTGTTTATATCAGGCTATGCAAACACAGGAAAAAAGTTTTCTATTGCTTTTATAAAATAACTTTCCCGAGAAAAAAACGCAAAACTCTTTGTATGGCACTGATTAAAAGAGAAATTCTTACCAGTCGCAAAATCTTGTCCACGAAGTCTTGCACGTGCAATCAGTTTTTGTTTTCCAAAAAGATGCTTTCCAAAATACGGATTCTTCTCACTTAAAATGTGAGCTAAAGTGAAGAAAAATTGACACACCTTCTTTGTAACGATTTTCCAAGTTTCAGCCGACGAAGGAATGGGAAAATAAAGTAAACTTGTCGAGTTTTGAACATGAAAACTTTTTCAAATTCGTGTTTGTGTGACTAGTGCGCGAAAAGCCAAACAACTTGACGCCACAACCATGTTTACATACTCTCATGCAAATACTCCTCTAGGCCAATCAGAGCACGCTTACTATCTTAGTTATTTTATAAACACACATGTAGATGATGTCAGCATAAATGTACATTATACCAAGTACAGTCCAACCTGTTTAAAGTGACATATCTCTCATTGTTGGTCCAACCTGAGAAGGACAAGATTGTGAAAGGTTTGAGCCAAAGATGAAGATGACTACTGCACAGATTGTCGAAATGTCAGTCACTGCACTGTCAACAACAACAGTCCTATTCAGGACTACGTTCACCTCAACGATCATACTCAACCTACTTATGAAAGATGATATTTTCACAAATAATTTCACTGTGAACAACAGAATCTCAATCAAGTGTCTAATGTTAGTTCATTGTTTGTTTTATTAAGTACCCACTTGTCCCTCAGCTAGATTACCATGAAGTCGACATCCATGTTCATGCATGAACTGAATCTTTTTTTGACACAGGCTCAGAAATAATAAATCAAGGAATTGAACTACAGACAGAGCTTGGTGGAAATGCACAGGAAATTTTGCTCAGAGGTGAAGCAATTCCTGAAGAAGTGTGTGCCAAAGTTTTGCTAGATAAAATCAGTTCCCCAGAAGTGGCTCATCATGGTGAGTAAAACTTTCTGGTTTGCCACATTTAAAAATTCACATTTTCACTACTTAATACCTGTATAGTGGAAGCTCTTGTTAGCAGACACCATTGGGACACAAAAAAAGGTGTCCATAACATGAGCTGGCTGCTAATGGGAATGTAAAAATATAGTGTTTTTATGGGAGTTGAGAAAAACAGAGTTTTGTGTAGGTGTCCTTGAGTGTAGCTGTCCACTTATGAGGGTTTCCATTAACTTAGGAGAGCTTTCATTGGAACAGTAACCAAAATAAAAATTAAAAACCCTTCACTTTCACTTTGTAAAAATTAATGCAGAAGAAATGAATAATTTCATGCAAATAAGGGTTTGTGCTACATTGTACCGTCACCAGGTGGCCCTTTGTCACACCTAACTTTTGTTCCTCGGCAACCAGAAAATCTAATTTCTTTCATTGAAATCATATGCTGGACACCCTGGAAAAGACAGGCTCAGAGCAATGGGATTCTTTCAATTTTTTGTTCATAGATTACAGCAAAAGGTTTCATTTTAACCATCACTCTTGCATGTAGCTATCAATACTTTGCATGTGATATACGTACAATATCTTATTCTAGGGTATGTACTGGATGGGTTTCCGTCTTTATGTGAGGACTGGCTGTCAATGGCTGATCAACTTGACCTTGTGAAGAATCTTCCTCTCACACCAGATTTTATCATCAATCTTAAGGTGGGTACCAGCAATTTAGATTGCCATGTAGTTGTAGTACTTTTTGATCCACAGACAGGGAGTTCGAGTCATAAGGAACAACCCCCAGCTATTAAACAGAGTGGTAACCTGCAAACAAACTCTTGCATGTGTGAAGATGGGGCAAGTGGCATTTGAACCTGGGGAGACAGAGGGTGTGTTCGATTGTAGGCTCGATTACTAGCCACTGTTCGGGAAAATGAGCCCGCACTCATGATCGTCCCCCGGAGAGAGGGGAGGATCAAAGACCTGACCCGGGAGACGGCGGAAATCAAGCCTAGTTTGATTGAAGCTATTCCAGAATTAGAATACACCGAAATTTTGTTACAACTCTTTTACCACTACTGTTTTGGACCACTGGAATTCTACATGCATCATTAATGTCTTTTTTTCCGACCAGATGTGCAGATGTGATGAATTACCTTCATAATGTAGCACACAAAACGGTGATATCTAGAGTTTTTTCCATTTTATTCTTATTCCAGAGTACCATGAAACAAACTGACCTGAGTTAAATTGAATCCACTCCTCAACACTAATTATCCAGTGGATACTTTCAAAAAGTACCAAAAATTGAAGGTGTCATTCTTGCATTGAGCCCTCAATTATATCAATATTTGTTACATGTATGTGTTTACACCATGTTGCTTTTCATAATTATCTTGCCCTGACTCAAATACATTATGTTGCTTTCAAATACTAAATGGACTTTACATACCATATCTCTAACCAGATTCCTGACAAGGATTTGGAGAAGCGGCGCTGTGAACAACGAGTAGATCCGCTAACTGATATCCTGTACACAAAGAGTAAATATGCACCTGACATGGCAACAAACGAAGAGAAAGACAAAGATGAAGAAGATGAAGAGGAGGAAGAAGAAGAGGAAGCTGAAGAGGAAATGATTGAGGAAGAAGAGGAGGTACTTTAGCAAAGTATTTAATGTAATGAAGCTGGCTATATATGAATTTCATATACTGGTTTTTTGCACAGCAGAATGAGGAAATACATTGTAAATACAACGAAGACCATCGCAGTTAAGACGCAGTTAAACCGATTCTAAGAACCCATGATTTTTGTCAACTGGTCGAATGGTTCTTAAAGTAAAGTGGAGGGTGGCTTTTACAGGTGTATATAAAACTGCTGCTTACAGTACAGCTCACTCAATTTTTGATCTTGAGAATTGAGTCTCAAGTCTGGAGAATTGATTCTCAGGTTTTAAGAATAGAGACTCAAGTCTCAAGAAATATAATGAGCTTGTCACTTGACTGATCTCTCGAGGAACAAATTCATCAAACTGACTGCTCTCTGTTTAAAGGATTGTGAAGTACATGCTGTGGACTGTGACAAAGGGCTTTTGCAATCCTTGCTTACTTCCGTGATCAAACAAAATTTGCACTTTCGAAACGTATCTGCGCACAAAGGACGAATCTAATGGCTCGCAAAATTCCCCACTTGTTCTGTGGTTTTGAAACGAAAACGTAAAGTTTTCGTTGTTTGCCCCTGGCGAAGAATTACGTGTACCACCGATGAAAAGTAAATAAACAAGCAAAAGTGCCTTGTAAAGTATAATGCTGCTGCATTGCAGTTCCATGTTTCTCGTCTGAAAATGACCACGAACAAAATAGTCTTGAATAATCCTTCAGAAATGATGACTTTTGCTTTTAGGAATACTACATCGTTGTTTTATGATTTATAAAGTTGTGAATTGCATGTTGAAGCAAGAGGTTTTGAATTACACATGACTCCATACAAATCTTTCTAAATTTGACTCAGTTCATAACATTTGGAACTGAGTCAGATTTAGAAGGATTTGTGTGGAGTCTTCAGAGCAAAATGGTACTAGTATCTCCTAGACAATTTGCCTCACAATGATAAATTTTGGCAAGTAGGCCTTTCAGATGAAAAATATCCCAACAAATCCCATAATTTCAAAATTTTAATTTTTATAACGTCACTTTAGAACTCTATCTCCTATGCGGTTGGGCTGAGCTTACGTACTGTTACATGTTTTATATGCACCAAAAATAGAACATTGCTTATGTTTCTCAAGAGAGAATTCTTATAAAAATACAACAACTCGATTATTGAACTCAAGATGAAAAACCTTTTGTTAGTCCTTTTTTATCACCTAGAAAACTTACACATGACATGTACATTTCAAGCGCTGACACTTGGTGCAAATTTACACTGTATGTGCAAATGTCTATTGTTGTTTTTCTCGAAAAGTAAATTGTTTTCCTGAAACCCTTTCAAGTGATAAATATTCAAAAATGCAAGTCTCTAGAAACTCAAACAAATTGAGTTTTGAAATGTGAGAATCGAGTCTCAAGTGGGGACTGTTAACTTACTTTTTCAGAGTGGTACTGTATATCAATTAGCTAGTCTTCAAAACGTCAAATCTGTTAAATGACTTTTTTCCAAAGGAGGAGGAAGAACGTGAGGAGATAACACCGGAACTTGTTGCAAGGCTTGTCACCAGACCAGAAGACCTTCCTCAGAATGTTGCTGCAAGCGTTAAGAAGTTTCGCGATATGATGCTGAGAACCTTAGAGGTACTTCCAGGTTGTATTGTATGTATATACATGACATGTCATGTACAATGAACGTCATGGATATTCTTTCTCTTTAACATATGGAGATGGAACTGTTACACAAGGAAGCCAAGGTTCTGATGGGTGCACAGGGAAATCATCTACAGTACAGTTAGATTTGTCACTTCTGAGATCTCTTCAACCTATCACCACAGTAGCTTATTATTTTTGGAAAACCACTAAATTTTATAGTTCACATGTTTTTTTGTATTTGTTACTGCATGAACAAAATTTATCTTTATTTTTAGCTTAAATTGTTCATCTTCTATAACTGTAGGACTACATGGCTGATCACGATCAACAACGGCTAATAGAGCTAGATGCGAATGAGAGTCCAAAAGTAGTCTTTAAAGTGAGTTATCTTCTATTTCATTCTTTTTGCCCTTAGTGTATTTGCAGTTTTTATTATGGAAGGTAGCAATGCGTTTTAAATAATGATTATTTTGATTTGTGTTTCATGTCTCTGTTAGTTACAAAAAATTTTAAAAACTGCTAACTACTTCTTCCCTAACCCAATCTTATTTGTCACGTAGGTCAAAATACTGGGTTAGGGGAGGGGTAGGTGCTGATCCAACATGTGTACTAGCCACAAGTTAGTCTAAGTTACCATATTAACTTAGGGAAACCACAGTCCAAATTACTTTATTCCATTGATTGTCAAAGTTTGAAACATAATTTCCTTTTATCATAGTCCTTGATGATGAAACTAAACACTTTCAAGTTGAACCACGCCCTTGTCCCTTTGCGCCTCCAAGGAGGAGAGGAGGGTGAGGAGATATCTGATGACACTGAGACTGATGACCTTCTTCGAACACTAGCAGCCACAGAAATGGTGGCACCCAAGTTCCGCTGGCGACGTAGCAAATGGGGCCGTGCATGCCCAGTGGCACTGAAGGAGGGAAATATTGTACAAGGAAATGCACAGTTTTCTGTCAGGTAGATGAACACAACAAGATATAAATAAATGTCAAANCACGCCCTTGTCCCTTTGCGCCTCCAAGGAGGAGAGGAGGGTGAGGAGATATCTGATGACACTGAGACTGATGACCTTCTTCGAACACTAGCAGCCACAGAAATGGTGGCACCCAAGTTCCGCTGGCGACGTAGCAAATGGGGCCGTGCATGCCCAGTGGCACTGAAGGAGGGAAATATTGTACAAGGAAATGCACAGTTTTCTGTCAGGTAGATGAACACAACAAGATATAAATAAATGTCAAAAAACTGTACTAGAAAATTAACTCTGGGTTCTAATCTTACAGCTAGAGCAGTTAGTTTTGGAGCTTTGGGGAGGGTTTGAGGGTGGTTATATGTTGTAATGAAAAATGGATGACATGTTGTTGAAATACTCCATGACTTTCCAAATTCACCAAAAGGTTAACAAAAACAAACAACAACAAAGTTCAATGGCTTGATAATTATGAAGTCAATTTTTAATGGAGAGAAAAGTAGATGGAAGGAAGATGTACAGCTGGTTTGCTGAAATTAAATCTGGTTTGTCATTTTACAGAATCAAGTATTTGGATTCAAGAATTGGAATCTAGATATCAAGTAATATTATGCTACATACTGGTATTTTCAACATTATTGATATTAAATCTGTCTAATTTCCAGTTTCTTGGACAAGCTTTATGTGATGTCAACAAATGAGGCCCTGGCACACTTCATGCGAAATCCTCGCCCCTATCTAGCCCCTCATTTGCCCCGCCCACCCTGTAAAGTGTGTGTTTTGGGTCCACCACACTCTGGGAAGACCATAGTGGCTCATGCACTGGCAGAGAGATACAATGCAACGGTAATTAGTTTGAATTTCTATCATCAGTAGTTACATGTACAGTGCATTGTAAAGAAAAATTAATTTAAATTTATGAATTCATCAAAAGTTAAAGGATTATTACGTGCATATCACAATTGATTTTATGAACCTGCAGAATATTGATGAGTTGTACAAGTCATTTAGATGAAGCACAGTTTGTTAACAAAAAGAAAAATTGGGGTTAATTATATAACTGGATAATCAAGGCAAGAATAATTATTAATCTTCACAAAACTTGCACCTGTAGGAATAAACTGGATTTTTTTATATTTAAATTTATTCACAACACTGTTATAAAGTGACAAACTTGAACAGGTTGCACAAGTTTTGACTTGCGGTTTCCCACTTTTGCAGATCTTAGATATTGATGAGTTAATCAAGCCTCGGAGAGAAGCAGCCAAGAAGAAAATGTTGGACGAGATACGAGATGAGACAGTTGAATCAGCCATCTCTAAAATAACTGCAGCAAAGCAAAGTCAGCAGTTTGAAGCTTCGGAGGAAGAAGAGAGTGAGTTATTTTTCAACTGTTTTGTTACTGGCCTCCTGTGCAGCTGTTTTTGTCTAGCCACTTAACTAACACTCTTCCTCAAGAAGTTTGAGGAGGAGTGTTGCTTGATGATCAAGACAAAAATGGCTGCGTGTGCGGACTACTGTTTTTCCTTCACACATCCTTTTCACTGATTTTATCAAGAAAATAGATTTTTATTAGGCTGTATTCTAATGCAAGACAAAGATTAGTGTAGTCAATTGAATAGGCCATTTGTAGTTTCCAAGGTTGAGGTTAGGCTGGACAGTTTCATACAAATCACTGTATTTTGACACCCCATTGTCTCGAGTTTGTGCCTTTGTTTACAGTAATGTGAGGATGGTCAATTGTGGCGTACACCATTTACAATACTGATGAAATGGACAACACTCCTGTTTTTTTCGTGGTAGATATTATGAATAGCTCGTTGCTCCACCTAAGGTTGTGTGCACTCTTTCATAGAACCTGAGCCGCCTCCAACACAAGTTGATGAAGATAATTCGGAGGAGAAAGATGGTGATAAGGACGAAGAAGCTGAAGGTGAGAAACAAACAGAAGAAGGTGATGAGGAAAGTGTTGATGAAAAACCACAGAAAATTGTCCCAGAAGAGCTTCCTATTGATGCTAATCATCCTGAAGTGCTTCAGATCGTGAATGAAGTCTTGGCTGAAACTGAGAAGAGAGAGCCTGAACTCTCCCCAGATGAGTACACAGATGTGATCGAAGAGGCAATTCAAAAGATTTATGCTGAGCTACAAGAAATGAACCCAGACGGGCCACAGTAAGTGCAAAACAGGGGTGGCCAGCTTTTTGACTTGTTGTAGGCCTGGCTGACTTTTACTCCCACATATCCAGATGTCTAGAGGTTGTTTTTAAACAACCTTAACAACAAAACCTTTATTTCCTTCACATATATGTATACGATAGTGCTGTGTCACAAAGAAACATGAATGCCCATTCAAGGCGGGTCAGCCACATAGATAAAATATAAAAAAACGATTTAAAAACAACTAAAACAAATTTGCAAAGAGTGTTAGATGAGGGATTTGGAAAAAATCAATTTATCTTATATTATCTCCATCTTTCTTTTAAAAAAAGAAAAATATTTACAAGAGGCGTGAGAAAATCTAGTAATTTATCTGGAGGTGTGCCATTGGGACCCTCAGCTTCTTTCACAACTGCTCGACTGTGGCCCGAGCAGGTTCACTGTAATTGCGCTGCCTTATTCAAAAGTAGGTAAAGTAACGTACAGTGCTCCTTCCCCCCAGGGCACGCCCTAGGGCACAGATTCGATTAAAACAACTACCGTATTACAAATTAAAGTCTTGCCATATGCCCCTCCCATCACAAAATCTGAAGAAAAATTGAGTTTGGTCGCAGTCTACTTGATTGTCTATACCAGAACGATATCTATCCGTCAATGAAATCATCCATTTCTTTGGCATAAGTGGTTTTTATGATTTGCTTTCTTGCCAGTGCTGGCGGGTACGTGTTGGATAACTTTCCCAGAACACGCGAACAGTTTACGTCTATGATTGAAAGGAATATTATCCCTGATGAAGTGATTTGTCTGAAAGATGACAGTGAGAATGGTGAATTTTTACTGAAAAGATGGTATCAGACGAACAAAGAAGGTAAGAACAGTGTAGAGTTTTGAAGTCTTTGTTACCTTGTTGTCGACATAGTAGCCTTAAATGCTTGATTTCTTGCTTCTTGGTAGCCCGCGTAGCAGGCGCTTGGAAGTAGTGGGCGCAAGAGGGAGACACGCGTGTCTCTCGCGCGAGCCCGTTTTTTCCTGCGCACATTACTTCCAAGCGCCTGCTACGCAGGTTAGCTTCCTTGGTTTTGCGCAAACTATTATTGGTTCCAAAACTCCAAAAAAAGGGAAAGTTTTGAAGCTCTCATGGGCTGTTAAGATACCTAAATGTCCTGAATAGTTGATAGATGATTGATGTCAGATATCCAAATCACCGTTAAGGCAGTACGCTTTATTTTCCGGAGTGTTTTTTTCTACGCTGTTTTGTTGGTTTTATACGTAAGAAGCAGATAAATTAACTTGTCAACGTGTGGACTACAAAACAGTTTATAGTTGCGCAGGTCTAGAACGCGTATGCAGTCGAACAAAAGATCTGGACTGAGGGTGAAAAGCTGAGAGTGAGACTGGGGAGAGATGCGGAAACACGGACTGTGCACTTTGCATAAGTTAAATTCGTTCGGGTTTTTCTCTCCCCTCAGATTCATGCCCTTTGTACCTACGAGACCCAAACGCCGAAAAAAACCGATTTTGAGAAAAAAAACCCGACTGTGTTGCAGTCTAACGAAATATCTGATATTTCCCCCTCAGAGCTTCACAAGAAGTGGGAGACCAGACGTGCAGAGGAGAGGGCTCGCCTGGAAGCAGCACGAGCAGAGAGGGAGAGGAGAGAAAAAGAAGAAGCTGAAAGAAGGGCTGCAGAGGAAGCTCAGAGAAAGGCGGAGGAAGAAAGACTCCGACAGGAACAGGCAGAAGCGGCTGGTGAGGGAGAAGGGGAGGGAGCTGGAGATAAGGAAGAGGGTAAGGAGGCTGAGGAAGAGAAGGAGGGTCAGGAACAAGCTAAAGAAGAGGAAGACGAAGAGGAGGCAGCTACTGAACCTAAGGCTTCTGACTCTACCGAGCTTCAGCCGTCGGCTGAAGACTTGTCACTTGAAGCAGCACCGGAAGAAGAGGAGTTCCCTCTGGATTCAGACATGCCCCCTAATTTACCCGAGACTGAGGAGTTTAAGAATGTCAGAACAAACTATGATCGAGACTTTCCTCAGCTGCTTTCTGTGCTGAAAGGCACCAGTAACCTTGATCTTATCTCGGTGTCAGTTGAACAGGAAGTAGATGCTCTGAACAAGGAGATTATAAGAAGAGTTGAAGGTATGCACAGAGGTTTGCTGGTGTTTTACTTTACCTTACTTGCATTATGTTGTTATATGTAAAGTTAGGTGAGGCTAATGGAAGACTCTCGGTTAGCGAGAAAAAAACTGTGGAAAGCAAACAAGTGCTCAGAGCCTTCGTCGTGAATTCGCTGTTTAAGGCGTTAGTCAATGACGAAGCATGCTTTGCACGTTTAGACTTAAATACTTGATGAACAGCGCAGGTAAAAAGCTTTAATGGTAGATTTTCTTAACAAGCAAGTTCGTGGAGGTCGCATATCTATACTTGGGATGCATTCTCTCTGAAGGAAAGGAAAGCTAAATGGGTTTTAGGTCGTCACCTTTCACTTATGAAACTATCTTTCTCTTGCTTCAGCGCCGTTTAACTACCGTGGCTGGGAATACACAGGAATGGACCAAGACGAAGAAGAAGAAGATTTCGCCGAAGAAGAGGAAGAAGAAGAGGAGGAAGAGGAAGACATTTACAACAAGGACAAGAAAAAAATCTTTGGCGAGACAAATCACTACTGCCCTGTTATGCTTAAGGAAAGAAATGTTTTGTGGCCTGGTATTGCTGAATGCGCCTCTAAGTACCGTGAAAGAACGTACTTTTTCTCCTCGCCCGAAACTAGGGCTACGTTTTTAGACGATCCAGAGAGTTTCCTACCCAAAGACAAACCTCTCGAGGTGAGAAACAGTAGTTAATAGAGAGATCAACGCCTTAAATCCCAATAGTGACCATTATCAATTTTGTCCTAACAATATCCATATGTTGCCAAGAGAAATGCTTATGAGAATTAATAAAATGATCACCAAAGAGAAAATGCTTTGATCTGTTATCAAACTCTCTCAACTAATTCTTTTAAGAAATGTATGAAGATCAGTATGGAGAGTTTATATGTGGGTATTGGGGCTTAAAGGGTTAAGATTCATGTTTACCGCAAACGGCAAACGTCAGACTCAAGTTGAGAATTTAGAGAATAGAAAATAAGCAGATTAAAACAGTCTCGAACGATTCCTATGGTTAAAGCTGGTATAAAACTACTTGTTTTTGTGTAGAAGCAGTAAAGAGTAAACAGAAAATAGAGGGAAAACTTGGTCACGTGATACAAATTAACGTCAGCCTTTTGGCGTAAACGTGAATCTTAATCTCTAATATTTAATATCCTGTTTTACTGGTAAAAAAAGTAAAGTTTTCTTATCTTTCCAAAAAAGTTGGCGGACCACAAATCCAAACCACAACAATAAGTAAATTAAAAGAATAAAACTGAACAAGATTTATTGTTGGGAGTATATTCACACCAGTTTGTGAACGTTTAGTAGCTCGAACCCATGGGACCGATCATGCTAAAAAAACAGAAACTGAAAGAGCATAAAAGAAATAGTGGGTCCGGCAAGTTTCAAGTTTTTCATCCTTAACACTGTGATTTTATGTTGGTTTGAATGACAGAGAAATGGTAAATGTAGCTATTGAGAATTCCGCTAGACCGGTTCTTCCTTCCGTTCAGTCCAGTATTTCCCCAGCATACATTTCAACACCCCTAAAATACGTCTTTTGCGTTGATCACCTCATAAGTGGCTGAACTTGCTGACTCGTATGGCAACAATAAAACTTTTTAAATAATCAGTTGCAGTCTTGTCTGGTTGTCCTTTTGGTCAACCGTTGTGGAATTATTTGACTTTAACTTAATCTTTTTTTACCTTTAGCCTCCTCCAGTCCGTCTTCTTGTCATTGGTCCTAAAGGAGCTGGAAAAACTCTTCACGGCCGCCAACTGGCCAAGCAGATGGGCGTGTTTCACATTTCGTTCAAAGATCGGCTGCAGGAACTAATCATTGCTAAGACCAAGAAGAGGATTGGGCCCGAGTATGATGATGACGACGAAGAGGAAACAGGGGAACAGGCCATCACGGCACCTGATGGAATGGAAGGAACTGGTAAGCAGTCAATGATCTTTAGTTTACCGTGATGATTCGATTTCATTACCTTGTGTTAAATATAATTATTATAACTGTTTTTCTTATAATATATGTTGTTCCGTAATTGTAAAGGGCCAGTTTTTTTAAAACGAATTTCAACTTACACTACAGTTTACGGCAGCCAGTGGATCTGTTTATATTTGCGGGGTTATTCTATTTCATCGAATAAGCCCCCATGTGCTTAAAAATTGGCTTAAGAGTAGGCGTAACCGTGTCATCAACCGACACAAAATGCTCATTGATAAAAGCAATCCTCCGAAAGCGCGGAAACTGGTATTTTCTTTACTTGCTAATGTATTGTTTACTTGGACTCTTCATGTAGAAGCAGAAGGTGCTCCGAAAGCCGAGGAAGGCGAGGGAGCAGCGGAAGGCGAGGAGGGATCTGGAGCCGAAGGAGAAGCGGAACCGGAACTTACAGATGAAGAAGAGAGTATCCGCGCCAATTTAGCTGACGGTGAAGCACTTCCCAACGAAACTTTGGACAATATTCTTCCTGCATTTTGGAACGAAGAGCCATTTAGGTAAGGCAAAATTCTAAGACAAATGTCTTGTGCTCTTTGGCTGCTGGAAACTTTAGGCTAAATCTTAGACACGTCATATCACCTAATACAATACAGTTTTTAAACCTGCTGTACTGAGTATTGCACAGCGTTCACATTCCGACGTCCCAGAGATCGTTTCCCTTACTTTGTATAAAGCGCACCTCTATTGAGCGGCCACAGTCACCGTTTCCAACGTCACAAAGAGTTATTTTAAGAGTTGCTACACAAGTACACTAAGGTCATTTTTGTATGGCTTGTAATAGTTGGTAATTTCTCAACTTCCTAAGTTTTTTTATGCATCTCTCTGCCTGTCACCGTTTTCTTCTTCTGATGTACTTTTGGCCTGGTCAAACCTGTATTCAGCGGTCCGCTGACAATTCCCAAAGTTTGACCGCTTATTTTGAAATATCTTTTCTTACAAGGTCTACTGGATTCATCCTGGAGGGCTTCCCTCGTACTGAAGCCGAGGCTCGTTACCTGTCCACTTCCGGTCTGTTTCCTGATCTTGCTGTCATCCTGGTGGTTGACGATACAGAAATCGCGGATCGGCTTTTGCCTCCGATGCTCGAAAAGTGGCGCAAAAAACGAGATAAGAGAGAGGCCGAAAAAGAAAGGCAACGAGCATTAGCTAAAAAACAAAAGGTGAGAGAAAAACTTTAGAATTTTCCTAACCTTGCCGCGCCGAAAAAAAAAATACAGCTTTTTTGTGTAGGAAAAATGTCTTTTTGCACGATTGAATGTATGTTAAGAGTGTTCAACAAATACCGATTGAAAACCCCGAGGGAGTCAATAGGGTACTACAAAGAAATTTTTCCTTTCATAAACTCTTACGAGTATGCGTTAGCTCTGTTTACATCTATGGTTTAACTAGAAATGTGTGTAAACGGCTTGGTATTTGCAACGAGTTCTGACTGGTCTTGTCTGCCAATTTTCGGTTGGAATCGAGCAGTGTGATAACCTCGGCTTAGTTTTACGATACTTAAGTAAACCCGTTTTTATTTAATAACTAAAACGCGGACTTAAATTTTCTTTACCTTGTCTTCCGCCAACAGGATGAAGACCGAGCGCGTAGACGCGAAGAAAAGTTGGCAGAGATTGAAGCAAAAAAAGCCGAGAAAATGGTAAGACCAAACGAATTCAAGTACGTCATAATCGTAAGGACTTGTTTTCGGATTCGAATGTGCGTGCTTGTTTGGCCTCGTGCAAATTCGTGTCAAGTAGTAGTGCGTCATAATCGTAAGGACTTGTTTTCGGATTCGAATGTGCGCGCTTCGTTGACTTCTTGCAACTTCGTTTCACGTACTTAGTAGTGCGTCATAATAGTAACGACGATTGTTTTTGCATTAGAATGTGCGCGCTTTTTTGACCTCCTGCATGCACTTGGAGGCTCGAAAACTATAGTTTGTGTACATTGTTGACATTGAATTGATACATTTTGTTCGTTTTGAACTAGCATTTAAACCACAAGGAACCCGAACGCTGTGAAAGCTATATCATATTTAGATGTTATTTTGATACCTGTTCCTGAGTCTTTAGTCGTCTTTGAAGGGATTTAAATCAGATCGAAGACGGTTTACCCTGCCGATTTCAAATATTAAATCTTGTTTGGCGCGTAGTGAATTGGACACGACAGTTTAATTGAAACCCAAATGAAGACTGTTTCCAAAACTTGAGTCGTAACTGTCCCTTGGCCGACAAGACTAAACATTTGAAACCGTCTTCGATCTGATTCAAATCCCGTTCCAAACTCAGGAACACAGGTATTAAAATAACAACTGAATATGATATAGCTTTTACAGCCTTCGGGTTCCCCATGTGGTTTAACTAGAAGATTACTGATTGTGTCGATAGAGGCAAACAACAAGCAGAATAAGTAGCGGGAAAATCGTCGACGTTTGCCACAGACGCAGCGCTTTAACTCTGTATTGCGTTACTTTGACGTCAGGCTCGCAGAGCACAGAGAGACAGCGACGACAGTGAAGAAGAGGAGGAAGACGACGAAGAAGAAGACATTGAAGCATTGCTGGACGCCGAGGAAGAAGATGAGGAAGAAGTTGAGGAGGAAGAGGAAGAAAGCGAAGAGGACGCCATTGAGAGACTTAAGACTGAAATTGGAGATCGATATGATGAAGAGACGGGCAAACTGGCCATTGTACAGGTAAGTCTTAAAATCAAAATTCAAATTCTCATTTGTTGTCGCTATACATTTTCTATAGAAATACATATGTAGCGGTGGGAAGTTATTCAAGTATCAGGTAGATTCATCTCCTGTGATGATGTCTTCAATTCTCATAACCCCTTTGTTTTATAAAGCACTGATCTTGCAAGGAGAAATTTCCTGCTGAACATTCTAAGGGCTTAAAGGGTTAAACTGTATCTGGACAAGACCTGTCAAAAGCTGAGGGGAAAAGCCAGTGTAGCTTTTCTGTTAACTGTTCATTTATGTATGAGATGTGATTGGTACGAGTGTGTTATTTATGAAGCAAAGACACTGCTAAAGCTTCTGAACGCATTCAGGCCGTTACGATTGGCCTAGAAAGAAAGAGAGGCATTCTATTTTAGGTGTTCCATCAGCTGTTTATATTCTGTGAGAGATGTCAGCGTGCATTTAGAATCATCCCCATGCAAGAGTATTGAGATTCGTTTGTATTGACAGAAAAATTTGTAAACTAAGCAATCTGTTGAAAAAAATGAGCTTTCCACGGGGACAAAGACGAATCAGCGGAACTTGAGATCCCCTCTCCCCAAATTTAAGTTGTTTTGGTTTATAAAGTAACCCTGGGTAGGCTGGGTGGGGCCCGTTCCTCTATCTAGTTTGATTAAGGGGAGGGGGTAGGAAAAAAGAAACGTCTGTGAAATTGTTCAGGCAAAAGCATTGCTGAAGGTATTTTGCATTCAGTTTGCCATTTTGTCGGGTACGTTTGTCCTAGATTGTAGGATGAGATGTTTTCTTAGTTAATTCGACTAAACCACGATTGCGTTGAAGTTTTGTACAAACGAAGACCTTGAATGAAGATTTTCTTTCATCTTACAGGAAACACTTGAAGAACTTTCCATTCCTCGAGTGGATATAAATGGAGGACGCAAGCCGCGAATTGTGGAGTACTGTATCAAGAAGGTGCTGAAACCGGTTGTAGATTTCAGGGAAAGCCTGTTTGACCGCTGCTTTGCTATTGATGGTTATCTTGCCAACAGGATGATTATTATGGGATACAAGTTTCCAAGTCGCTTTGGAAGGTGGTGTCCTGTCAAGGTATTACGCCCATTACTTTGTTTAAAACAGGTCTCAAAAAAAGCTAGCTCTTTCAGCTTTCCAGTGAGAACTTTGAGTCTTCTTTCCTGTATTTCCATTAGTAACTGAAGGTTCCTGTTTCAAAAAACGCAACCCAATATATGACGACACTATGGACTTGCCCAGAGAGGCAAGTTCAGAAAACAATAAAATGGCCTAAGAGGGCTGACCATATTACAGTAAACCTTGTAGTGTACGTAGTGGCTCATAAATTAGGACAAGAACAAATAACTGGAAAAAAAAAACGGAGCATGTAAGAATCCCAGCTGACCGAAGGCAAACCAGTTGCACTTGTTACAAGCAAGGCCGAGGAGTTAAACTCGGGACTATGGAGAACAAATCCAATTAGCTGTTCAGGACTCGAAGTCTGAGCCTCCAGATTTGCAGATCCATTGCTGTAACTGCTCGACCACGCTTTCTCTCCCTGCCTCTCTTAGTTCTGGTGAGTTGAACCCATTTACATTTCAAACCGGAACAGAAGGTCCAATATAAAAATTTTCAACTAACGGCAGGACACCCACACATAACCAAGTGTTCCTTAACAACACTAATCTGTTCCACTTTCTTTTTAGCTTCTCGACGGAGAAGTTCTGCCTCCTCAGCAAGGTCCCGGAGCTTATACTTTTCCAGTAGTGTATCGACAGCACGTTTACTTCTGCTCGGGACGGGATGAACGGGACTCATTCATGCAGTGCCCGTCTCGCTTCTTGAAACAGCCCTCACCAAAGCCTGTAGTGCCTATAAAGATGGCGATAATTGGACCTCCCAAGTCTGGAAAAACCGGACGTAAGTATTAAAAAAATACTTCAACTATTTTTTTTTTATCTCTTTTTTGGCGAATCATGTGCCTGTTACTGTATTGGTGTGGGAATCAACCCTTGGGAAACCCGTGGATTATTGTTTAGAAAATCCTCTTTCCCCCCTCCCACATCTTAGCCTGCCGTTCAGCCAGCCCACGCACTCGTCTAGACCCTCGGGTAGACGCAGGCAACCCACATCTTTGATATCAGAGCTTTCGCGCCCCTGTATCTCAACCACAAACGAAAAACACACCAAACAACCAGCCAAATAACTATCTGCCAGGCAGGCGAGAACTGAATTGCTCGGAAAGCATAAAAAAAAACTACCGATAGAAGGTGCAGGCTGTATATTTCAACTCCTTGATAAATTTCCAAGATCAAGAAGTTAACACTAGTATCTACTAATACAAATAATGTTTCAGCGAAAATATATCGGGCAGTGAGTTCGGGTCGAAGAGTCGATCTCTGTCAACGTTAAGTGAGCGAGTGACACATTTGCATATCGAAACCCATCACAAAAGGCCTTTGGATACCCTTCGGGTATCCACGGGTTAAAAACGGAATGCTGTTGTGTCCGGTAAATCCAAGTGTCTTGCTACAAAAAGTGTCTTCTGTTCATAGCTTGTTCATTCTAAGGGGCATGTAGTAAGGCTACTGGGAATTTAATTACCTTTTAAGAAACGGTCCAGATAAGAACGATAGCACTGAACGGCAACGAACATGTTGGAATGCAAAAAAGATGCTAACTTTTCTATTGTCTGTACTTACTTCTGATTGGCTTAAACAGCAAAAGTTAACAAAACTTTACAAAGCGGTACATATATTCATCCTTACTTTCCAACCATCTTCCATATAACAAAATCTGGTCTCAGTTTGAATAACAAAGAAATCCTATGTGGGGAACATGTACCTCCTCAGCAAGGTCCCGGAGCTTATACTTTTCCAGTAGTGTATCGACAGCACGTTTACTTCTGCTCGGGACGGGATGAACGGGACTCATTCATGCAGTGCCCGTCCCGCTTCTTGAAACAGCCCTCGCCAAAGCCTGTAGTGCCTATAAAGATGGCGATAATTGGACCTCCCAAGTCTGGAAAAACCGGACGTAAGTATTAAAAAAATATTGAACTATTTTTTTTTTTATCTCGGCTTTTTTGGCGAGTCATGTGCCTGTTGCTGTATTGGTGTGGGAATCAACCCTTGGTGAAACCCGTGGATTATTGTTTAGAAAATCCTCTTCCCCCCTCCCACATCTTAGCCTGCCGTTCAGCCAGCCCACGCACTCGTCTAGACCCTCGTGTAGACGCAGGCAACCCACATCTTTGATCTCAGAGCTTTCGCGCCCCTGTATCTCAACCACAAACGAAAAACACACCAAACAACCAGCCAAATAACTACCTGCTAAGCAGGCGAGAACTGAATTGCTCGGAAAACATAAAAAACTACCGATAGAAGGTGCAGGTTGTATATTTCAACGCCTTGATAAATTTCCAACATCAAGAAGTTAACACTAGTATCTACTAATACAAAGAATGTGTCAGAGAAAATATATCGGGCAGTGAGTTCGGGGCGGACCCGAAGAGCCGATCTCTGTCAACGTAAAGTGAGCGAGTGACAAATTTGGGTATCGAAACCATCACAAAAAGCCTTTGGGTATCCACGGGTTAAAAACGGAACGCTTTTGTGTCCGGTAAATCCAAGTGTCTTGCTACAAAAAGTGTCTTCTGTTCATACCTTTTTCATACTAAGGGGAATTTAGTAAGGCTACAGGGAATTTAATTACCTTTTAAGGAGCTAAGTCTCGAAATTCATAAAAATTCATAAAAATTCAAATAGTGAGTACTGCCACCAAATTGAGTGACACTTAGTAATAACTGCCCAAAACGTATCACCGCAAATGCAAAAGAAGGCAACGATGGACAAACGAGAAGAAGATTGAAACGGATTGCAATTGTGGTTTTTGAATATTTCTAACAGTTTTTTAAAGTTTTGTTTTGTTGTTTGTAACGTTCGCTCGGGAGGTATATTTGTTTTACACAAAACTGTGATTTTGTCATTCATAAGTGATTTCTCGATTTTGATAGCGAATACGGACGGGCAATTGATATTATAACCAAAAATGAACTCGCTAGCTGTGACATAGCTCCTACAAGTCTTGTTTCGGGTCAATTTTCTCCACGTTATCAATATAATTTTTCCTGATAAACTTTCTGTTTTTCTTGCAGTGGCAAATCGTTTCGTGGCGGAGTATGGGGTTGTAAGACTATCCATCGGTGAGGCGATAAGAAAAGTCCTTAATTTCCAGTCTTATACGGAATTAGCTCGACAAATCAACCTACATTTGAAAGCTGGTACAACTGTCCCCGATGAATTGGCTGTTCAGGCCTTGGAAGTGGCGTTACTGGACATGCAGTGTCAGACACGAGGGTAAGGGCGTGTAGCACTTGCTGTGATTGGCTGGCTAAGTTTTGTATTATATACAACGTCCAGCGATTCGTTATCCATATTTGAAGTCTTATATCCGCTTTAATGACTGGTTATTAGCTAAAAGCTGGTACGTGCGTGTTTGATGTAGACAGACTTACCAATCACACCCGCAGTTAAATTTAGTTCAATAAGGTGTTTTTGTACACCACTTTTCCTTCTTAACCCTCCCCCCACTCCCTTCATGCAATGTTGTACCGTTGTTCGAGTAACCTGTAGAAAAACACCCCAACCTTGAATGGAGAAGAGGGGGGAGGGGTGTGGATTGTTATTCTCCGAAGTTACCCCATATGAGGACAATGTCTAAACAAATTTGTCGCTGATTGTAGGTCTCGAGTGACAAGTCCGGATGCAACGCAGCCTAATATCGTTGGGCTACTTCAATTTTGACATCCAGTGGCCAAAAAAAAAAAACAGGGAAATTTTAAGAATTTGTGTGTATACTTCACAATTCAACAGGGTAATGTATTTTCTATTATCCTAACATTCGTTTTATTTCGTTATTAGCTATATACTTGATGGCTACCCTGTAACCAGACGGCAGGTGGAGCTGATGACGGAGCGAAAGATCATTCCTGTCAGAGTCCTGGAACTTCAAGTAGAAGACGATGAAGTGCTAAGGCGGGGAACTGCTGACCGACACGCTCCTACGAGGTAAAAAAACATAGTCCAAAAAACACATGTGTCCGCGTCTTGGACGATCAAGGAAGCTTACACAACGACGACGGCAACGGAAGCGAAAGCGTCACCCATAAAGTGAATTCGGGCTGTTTACAACTTCATCGCTCTTTTCCCAACTCTTTTTAATTTGCCAAGTGTTTTCATGACTTGAATTCTGATGGACTGCATCTACGTTCACAAAAATAGGAAAATCGTCGTCTTGTGTTCATCCTAGTCGAGCAGCGACGGCGAAGAAATGTACAAAAAAGCGTGGTGCACGTGCAAAGCTGTTGTTTTGCCAATTCAAAGCTATGCCGTCAACGTCATCATTGCTTAAGGTTCTTAATATCTTGAACAGGTTAGGGATATGTAATCTTCTTAAAATCGTGTGACGTGTCAATGAAATTCAATTACTTTTGAATTCCAGAGTACTTCCCTTGCACGACAGTCAGCAGATACTGGGTATCAGGCTTAACGCCTGGCAGCGGGAGATTTCGTACGTGAGGGAATGGTACCAAAAGGAACACAAAAACTGGGTTTCTTTGGATGGTCAGCGGTCTAAGTGGTGGGTGTGGAACCAAGCCCTGGATGAAGCCAGGAAAAGTGTCCGTCAGATTCAAACCTACTTACAAAGATTATCTGAAGGTATTTCCAATCACCCAAATACTTTTTACTGTCAAACTCAGAAAACCGTGAACACCTGAAAAATTTCAGGAATGTTGATTGTGTACTGGCCAATCACAATAAAGTTCAGGACACGCTAGCAAATCTCAAAGGCACAATCTAATTACCGTTGCTGTTTGCGGTTTAGTTATCTCGCGCCTTATCGGCTTATTTCTCGCAACACAATAACATTCCATAAATATTTCTGGTGTTCACGCTTTTGTGAGTTTCACAGTAATATTCGAGAAGCTATAACAGCTACTCTGCAGAAAGACCAGGCCCTGGTTGTTTAAACGTTGGATTGCGCTATCCACTGGATAAATCACTATGCAGTGAATAAGTATTAAGGAAACTAATTGTGCTATCTAGTGGATACAGACTTTTCCATTGGATAGCGTTATCCACCGCTTGAACAACTGAGGCCAGACCCTTTGTTTTTGTTTCTTGCCTTTTCTAAAGAAATAAATAACTCGACTATGTATTTTGTACCCAAAACTGCGGTTGTGAGAGCTGGCGAGAAACGTAAAAACCAATCAACAAACAAAAGACACCTTTCCCATAAGTTTAGAGGATACCATTCTGTTTGGCTTCACTCGTTTCTTTGATTGTTTGGTTTCCCCTTCCTGCACGTACTGCCACCAATAGGGTTTATCCCTCTTCTGTGAGAGTAACTCCCCCCACTCACCTTTAACGCTTCACTAGGTTTGCCCACTTCATTGTCAAAGTTAACGTCCTTATAAGACTACCAAATCACTGTTAAAAACTCCACCTAACTCTACCCTCTCTTATGCCGTCGCTGTTCTCTTTTCCAGGCAAAGCGGCATCAGTGGCTGACATGTGTATCACACCTTCTGAGTGCCTGGTCAGGCTGGGTGATTTTGGTCAATACTGTCCTGTCAGCCTGGCCGACCGCGGAGAACTAGTCGACTGTTCCGTCAACCCTTCCCTGGAGTTTGCTGCTGAGTTCCGCGGGCGCTATTACAAAATGGCGTCAAGAGTTGAGTTGGAACTCTTTCTTGCGGACCCCGCTCGTTATGTACCGCCTTTGGCTCCTCGAAAACTCCCCAATTTGGAGCTCCTTCCTAAGCGAAGGACTGCAGCTGAGGTGAAGACCATGTTCCCGAAACAAATTGAGCTGAAGGGATACTGTCCAGTCACTTACTTGGATGGCAAGCTAAGGTGAATAACTTATTTTAGTTCCAACAATGAGAAGATACAAGAGAGCAGCATCCAAAGTGTAACAAAGCAAAATTCAACCCAATCCTTGAAAATCAGAACGCGTATCTTTGTAGACATGTTATGAAGAACTTAGAACGCGACGAAAGTACTTGGCATATTTCAACCAAATCTCTTGACGTTCATCAATCGATAGACTGCAAAACAGTCCGTATTTTTGCGTATTCAAGTAGGCGCGAGCAGTCAAGCAAAAGGTCTGGAACGAGGCTGAAAACAGAGAGCGAGACTGGGGAGAGACGCTTTTTTCTCTCTCCTCACACGCCCTACGGGCGTGTGAGGCTTGCGCGCTTCGCGCGCGTAAGACTCTTACGCCACGCTTTACCGATTTCTTTACTGATTTTGAGAAAAAAACCGACTGTTTTTCAGTCTAATCAACCGAATGCATAGCGGATTAGTGACGGTCATATGACCAGAAATGATCATGTGAGCGAATGATGCTACATACTGACATTTGTGTGACGTTACTTATCGTTTTCCTTTTTGTTCTTTTCTTGTTTGGAATATCATTAACAGATACGAGAACATCGTCCCGGGTGAGCCAGACCTAGTCGTCGAGTACAGAGAAAAACTCTTCTGCTTCGAGTCCGAGGAGAAACTGCAGAAATTTATGAGGTAACTTAAAATTATGCGCTCAAACCACCCACAAGTCAAGTGATATATACGTATGTCTGGTGAATGAGCAAACGTGATCAGCAAAGGCTGTAAGGCGATAATGATTTTCGCGCCACTTTTCACGTTTGCCTTTCCCGACGAAAGTGAAGTTTGAAATCTATTCGTATATATTAGATCTTCTACTGAAATCAAGACATGAAGCCAAGAGCTTTAACGAGATTGAAATTGCCTGGCAATAGATATCCCCAAACTGTAACTTCCATTTTGTTGTTCCTAGTGTAACTTGAATAAACACAATGCTTAATGTATTAACCTCTCTATTGTTTACACATCTTTTGCAGATTACCAGAGAAGTATTATAGTCTAACACTCCCACACAAATTGCCACCCAGAAAAGAACCTATGCTTGTCAGTGGACTGCCCATGTTAGGTTACATGGAGCAGAGTGTCGCTACAGCACTGACCAAAGCGTTAACTGCAGTGGGATGTTTTAAACCCAAATATCCGTTTGTTGACGCCAAGAAGTCAGCTCTTCTCTACATAGCCTATCATCTTAAGGGTAAGTGATATACTGCTGAAAACACGTTGTTTTTTAAGAATTCGTCTAATCATATTGCTTTAGAAACCAGTAATTTGCTTAAGAGCGAATAAGTGTGCATGACGAAATCGGCAAACAACCCTTGACTGGATTCTTGTGTATGCTGTTCCTGGCACAATCCTTTATTTAGGCATCCTTTCACATTAGTAGGCGTCTGTGATGGCCATGTTTACGGGACTCATTCCACCCCCTTATTGCGGGAGACCAGAGGAGCCTGCAAACCTAATCTCCAGGTTGCTATTACTCGTGCACAGCACGTATGTAGCCAGGATTCGTTTGTATATTTATTTCATCGAAGAATGAACGTAATGTATAGAACGCAATCTGACCATGCGCGTTGAGACCTTCTGTCACCTGTATCTGATCACGAACGTTTTGATCTTCCATCACGTTAAACTTACGCAAAACACAGCGTTGAGCCTAGAGCATTTGAACCTTCGACCGATCTCGCACGAAGTCCCTAAAGTTTGGTTATTACTAGCTTTAGTAATAAATTAAAAGGGCGTGTAAAATAGGGCGTCTGCTGTCTGCAATTAGGGAATTTACGCAACAGGACGGGAGAGGAAAAAAGACGGCAAACCGTAGGTGAAAACCGTAACAACTGCGTTTCACCCTCCTTTTAACAGATTGTTTTTACAACTACACCAATAACATTCATGTTAAGTGAAGATGACGACAAAACATGCAAGTAATAGCTCGGTCACGTTTGTCACACACAAGCGTTTTTCCGTCCACTTCTTTCTGTCGTCCTGTTGCGTGAACTCACCATTGAATTAAAGTTCCCAACAAATAAAAGCTTACAGCAGTGGGTTTCTTTTACATTTCAGCCTACAACCCAAAGAGCAGTGAGTACGTCCGGAAGAAGTACAAACAAAAACTAATGAGATTTGAAGAGGAATGCGAGCTGATTGGTTACCTTGGTAAACAGATGACCAGTCGTTATCGAGAGCCTGAGGATCTCCCTATTGATTTTGAGCATAAGTTGTCAACATTTCTGGCACTCAAAGACATAGAGCCCACAACCACGTGGTGTGCGTGACACTTCATTATCAGAGCGTGACCGTTTTGCGTGACCTAGATTACAGATTATTTATTTTTAATAAAGGCAGAAAACACTATGCATACTTTTTAATTTTATGACGGCAGTAACATGTCGGCAATCAACGATGTTGTATAATAGATATGTAAATAATCTGCAAGACAATAATAATTGTAAATAAATTTGTTTGACCTCAAATGCAATATTTTCCGTTTTGTTTAGTTTTTGGAGCATATCTTCTTTTTAGCTTACTGCCTTTAAGCCCGTCACTTCTATTTCGAATACTATAGGAGTAATTTTACAAAGTTATCTGGGAAACAACTCGAAATTCTCGACGAGTTCTTTCGGATAGGTTATAGACATGAGCAAATAAAAGGCGGTGGTGCCTTTTTTAATGATGTACGTTGTTGGTTTGTTTGTCTTTTGGCACACCTAAGTTTTAAACCGACGATCTCTTTCCAACAGAATTCTTACCCTCACCCATTTACTCTACGCCGTGGCTGTTCATAGTTAAGTATATGACAGTGTCCCTGCCATCATGGCCAATTTTTTAATTTTGTTTGTCTCTCTGGTACAGTACAGTACAGTTTAATCCTCCAATCAGTAATCTTGTTCATGAAGTTGCACTGACGACTGACTACACGGTCAACCAATGCAGCGAAACAACCCTGATCTTGCCTACACTTCTTTGCCTGTTCAATAGAGACGTTTAATATTTTAGCGATAATTAACCAAGGGTCCCGTTGGTGTGGACGCTTCGACTTCGGGACGGAAGACTTGATGCCTGTATTTGTCAGATGACATGCGAAAAAACCAGATTCTGGCGTTTTTTTTTCTGTTTTGTCAAGAAAAAATACGCATGATACAGTTGTTGTCCACCAAGTGTAAATACAGAGTAGGCACTATTTTCTTTTGTCCTAGTGAAATTGTATTCACCGTTTAAGAATTACGATCCCAAAATCCATACTCTGTTCTGCAGCACATCCTTGGAGTTAGGCCAAATACGGGAAGTGATCCCGCCCCCTGGCGCCCTTTAAACATTGATAGTTTGCTTTCGCAGACTAATTAACAATTATTCCTCGAGCCCGAATGGGCTCTGAGTCAATAGCCCATGAGGCCGAAGGCCGAATGGGCTATTGACTCGGAGGCCATGAGTGCAAGAGGAATAATTGTTTTAGTAAATCCAACTAGTTGGTCAAAGCTATCCAGAAGCTAGACTTTAACCCTTTTTTGCCGCCAAAAAAACTGCGCTTTTCGCTACTAGTGGGCTATAACATATAGCCTAGTAGTAGCTCAACCAATCAGAATGCAGCATTGGTAATAGACCACTAGTTACTGGATGCAGCAGACGTTTATCGCACCCTGCCTCTTCCACAGGCTTTCCCAGGGCTTAGTGGGGAACAAGAACAAGCGAGAGGCGCGAGAGCTGGAGACAAGCGAGAAGCGCGGGAGAATGATATGAACGAGTGCAGCAAGTGCCCCCGCTTTCGTTAATAATTAACTCGAATATTCCCCAAAAAGTGACCGCCTGCGACTGAGGACGAAGCAGTAGCAGTATTGCACCTCATAGAAATCTTCTCGTCATGGCAACGAAAGGTCGACCATATGTTAGTTTATTTAAAGTGGAGGGCGGTTTCCCCTTTTTTCTCAAAAAGAAAAAAAGATGGAGCGCAGATTTATAATGAAATAAAGGCTTGAGGAAAAAAACCGAGCCAAAGGAGACATTCTTATCGTTTCTCAGGAGAATTTAATTTTTCACATTATATTACCGCAAAGAATTACATCATATGTCTACCGGCTCATATCATTGGCCTGGGCCTTGCTATTATGGCCCTGATTATGAATAATAAACTATGTAAAAACTTGGTATAATAAAAGAAGACTAGGTCTGAAAGCAAAAATGGTTTACATGTGTCTTGCGTTTTCGATGCCTCTGGTTTCTATAAACATGTCGACAGCACAGTCTCCTTTAAGTTTCTCAAACAAGAAAAGCTTTCAGCGGCTAAACAAGCTCAAGAGTTTAATGTGTTCATTTAATCAATTTCAGGTCCGTGAACATTTAGAATGACAATTTTGTCCTCAAGAGCGACACAGACCTGCGCATTCAAGGGAGAAGTAACGAGTCCACGAAGTTTGCCTTCAAAGCTCATAAATCCAAGCACACGTTCCAGAAACACATCCCGTACCTTAAAAGCACCAGACTCGTGCACGCCCACAATGACGTCTCCAAGATCTTGGACTAAGAAACCGCACCCTTTGACCATTCCATCTCCAGGAGGCAAAATCTTCTTTAGTTCAAAAAGGCTACCTTCCCAAATGCGTAATGTGCCATCAATGTGGCCTGTCACTACAGAGCGGCCATCTGGTGAAAACTTGCAGCACTTGACAATTTGGTCATTAGGAACCTTCTGTGTAAAAGTGCGGCTTTTGAACGTGTCATGCAAACTTAAGCTACCATGACGATTACAGCAGAGAAGTCGATAATGCCAAGGGCTTATGTCACCTACGCTCTTCTCCAAGGTAAAGACGTCGCAACATTCAACCAAACAGTTATTCGAGTTTAGCTTTTCAACAAATAACTTACTCTCAGCGATGTTCCACACTTGAATGTCTCCCCTTTTAGACAAGAACAAAACTCTGTCATCGTCAATGAATTTGAAGAAAAAGTGGTGTGCAACTGGATGATCCACTAGAGACCACTGATGCTCAAGCTTGCAATTGTATATTTCAAAGGTATCTTTGGTTTGAATCAGAATGAATTCTCCATTGGGTGAGAGAGCAAAGAAATTTGCTTGGCAGATGTTCGTGTTGTTCCGTAGAAAACGACCACTTGAAGCTTCGTACATGCTCATTCCTACCTTTGACAGAACGTAAACATGTTTCCCATCCACTGAAAAGGAAATGGCTTGCACACCTCTGTCAGTCACAACAGCAGACTCTGCCTTCTCTAAGGACTGGCACATATAGACGGTCTCACAGTCCCGTAGAAGAACCCTTTCCAAGTCCACCTCTTTAAGATATTCCCACTTCGTCGCACTGGAAATTGGAACAATGCGAACCTGAAATGGTACATTATCACAGCTGATACGCTGGGAGTCACCGCACACATACAATAGGCCTCCACTGCTTGATACCCCAAGGCTTTTGTGAGTCGACCCCAGGTGTAAGAGCGTTGTCTTCGAGGCCTCGCACGTGGATGTGTTTATCTCACATACCGTTAACGACTGCTTCTTTGAAGAGTTTACAATAACATGCTGGGAACTTCCTTCCAAACTCGCCAGACAGTCAATTATAAAAGGTTGTTCGCCGTCAAATGAATTGTGCTGACATCGGTAGTTAGGTGCTTTATTTATGTCCCAAAGAGAGACGCCTTGGTCAAAGCTACCTGAAATGACAAAGTTTCCACAGGATGAGATTGTGCAGCAGGTGATGCTGGCAGTTGTTTGCTCCAAACGGGCCAGCACGTTTCCTGTGTCAAGTTCCCATACAAAAAGGGCGTCAGTCAAATGTGTCTGTCGAGTCACCAACTTTTTCCTGTCTTGTGAAACACTTGAATCGATGAAAGAATGACTGTTGTCCGGAAACAGCTGCATGGACTCGCCTTTAAATGTCACAGCACTATCGAATCGACCATAGATGACTGCGCCATGATGGGGGACAAATACACAGTAGCTGCAGCGTTCCTCCTCTGGCCATACCTCAACGTCATCACTTTGGTAGGACCATAGTTCCCTTCCTGTCTCGAAGGAAAACATGTGAATAAAGCCCCTTTTACATCCACAGACCAAAAGTGAGTGTTCGCAATCTTTCAAAACATCACAGCAATTCACGTAGGTCTTACAACGGAATTTAGAAGTTACTGGATTCTTAGACTGGGCTCTGTTAACCACCTCCACCCGAAGAGGAATCTCAATTGGGGGTTGATGCATTACAGCACAAGCTTCAAGACTGATTGCGGTTGTTTCTGCCTCATTTACCAAGAACTGAAAAATCATTTCAGGGTTCTCCACCACAACGTAAGGATGTCGCTTCAAGCAATTTATGCAGTCGTCCAGTTCCATCGAGTCGACATTTGGCAAATTCAAAACTGACTTGATGCACTGAAGCTCTTCGATGATCGAAAAGACATCACAAACTCTGCTCTGTAACTTGGCATACAGGAGCTTTAGGCTGCACGCATCGCGAAAGAGTTCAGTTCTTTGCCTATCACTTATTTCCACACATGCAAAGGCAGTAGAATGGCAAGTTCCATGTTGCAGAGCATAGTCTTCTTCTGTAGTGTTCTCAGCAACGACATTATGACGATTCTTAATGGCCTGGTAGATCTTCATACACTCACTAGAAAGAATGGCGTTGCCTCGATTCACGTCAACTGTGAATCTGTGGTTTCCATATAATTCAGGGACAGAAAACCAGTCAACGATCGACTTGTGAAAAACATCAATGCACTCATTTCGAATGGGCAGTAGGGTTGAGATGGATCCAGAGATCTTTTGAATCTGACCTGAATTACCATCTACAGTGTCGCGGCAGAATCCTAGTATTCTGGAAGCAACTGTGACGGGTAACGGAGACCGCGCTGCGGCGATTGAAGCGAGAAAGTCGCAGAAAGGCCCATCCTCGACGCCGAGATTCAACTGTAGGCGACCAAAGTACTGGTCATAAACGGATGCAATTCCACGAGGGAAGATGTCGCTGAGATCCTCAGGCTTCACAGTTTCTTTATTTTCTTTGACAAATTGGACAAAATAGTGCGCGTAAAGCATGAGCCCTTCGGCTTGATTGACAAAGCGATGAACATTTTCCTTCACGTCACAGCTTGGTAAGATATCCCTTAAACTATCCTCGAAAAACACCTCAATGTCTTTCTGATTGTTTTTGTCCCGAGCGTCAAGGACGAGGGGATTTAAATGCTCAAGCTTTTTGGCCATCTGGTTTTCTGGTCGGCCTGTCACGAGAAACTTTATCCAAGTTGGCAGCTTGTGAAACTGCGACATAATAACGTCTAACAGCCTGTTCCTTCCATCGTACTCGCATTCATCTAAAGCATCGACCAACAACAGGAAATTCATACCTGGGTCCTCGATGATGTTTGTTGGCTCCTGAAGGAGATGGGTAAACAGCTCTTCTATGTTCATACTCGCTAGTTCGTTAGCACTTACGGAGGCCAGCTGACCTATTAATAAAAGACAATGTCTCACT